AATCGACTGTCAATTTTTCACTTTTAATTACCCTTCTTCGAGTCAGATATTTCATAAAGATATTACGTCCAATTTTCACCGTATTTTTTCCTCTCAAACTCTTGATCCAACCCAAAAACGACTCTTCGGGTGTAGTAGTACGTTAGCCCTCTATAACTTGCTATAACAAAAATAACCTTCAGTTCGGTTTTACACACCAACAACAAATTATTATTACGATAAAATATTTCACAGAAAAACTAACGTACAATAATGATGAAATATTAAGTCTTTTAACGTTTTTTTACGATAATAATAGTAATGTACGATGGTTGTTGATGATGATCGGTGAACTGCTTCTCTTCAATTGACGAAAGTTGATGAGGAGAAGGAGTGCAGAACGAAATCAAAGTAATGCAAATGAAAACACTAAATTATATTTTATAATTTTAAAAGAATACTAAATATAAACTAAATGTGAGATTTAGTTATAAAATTATAGCAGTAGAATTTCTTCTTCCTTTGTATGATAAACGAAGAAGACGACTGATGATGATTCCTCTTCTCTTAAGATGAGAGAAGGAGAAGAAGAAGTAGAAGTTTAGAATTTAAGTTTAGAATTTTTGAAGAAGAAGAAAAAACTGATATTTTTAATGAAATCTCGACACGAAGATAATGTGTCTCCACGTTTCGCGTCACCATGAAACAAAATAATAATAAAAATCAATTATTAACTGATTTCACTCTCTCTATATAAAGAGCGCATAGAAGAAGTTTCTGAAACTTTTCAAGCGACAGAAAATAAAATATGTAACGGCAAGCGGCCATTACAAGGGGAAGGAGTAGTGGGTCCAAATTTCTACCTCTAAACACTTCAACACTCTCTTTCAGATCGTGTTTCACAAAATGAATTCCCATGCAATGATTCATAGTAAATTTATTTGAGTTTATTAAAAATAGGAACTTGCCACCACCTCAAAAATTTGTAGACCACATGGCGAAGAATGCAAGAAAAAAGAAGACGAACTAGTCGATAATGTTCGATGATCTTGATAATATATTGGAAATGTTGAATTCTCGATCTAGGTGTATGTTTGTGCCATATTTCCTAAAAGAAATAGAAAATTAGTTCAGTAACAAAAAAGAACTCGAAATGTTTGTCTTAAAACATCAGTAACATTCTCTCTATGAGTTATCATCGAAACAATATATTGACACAACATACCTGGCTTATTAACCAACCAAAGGCTTCATAACAGGACCATCAAGAAGATGACCAACCAAAGGCTTCATAACAGAACCATCAAGTATACGATCAACAGTATTAATATCAATAGAAATTTTATAAGGACAAGCATAATCAATACTACTATAAAACAAATAACTATAAATACCAGTACTATTAGTAATAATCCACGGACGAGTAGGACCACGAGAAGTAAT